CTCGGCTTTAGCCGACACCACAATATTGATTAAGGACGGCCCGAGATAATTGGGCTACGGTTATTAATTAGCTCGTTTGATGCATCCTAGCGATTGAAGGATCTGACTTAGGACTCGCTCGGCTCAGGTTCGAGCCCAGAATACAACAATAACAGTAATAATGTAATACACTATAATAACCATTGCAGCTACAGGTACTTTATGTACAAGGATATTCTCTAGTCGACAAACGCGAGTACAAATACATCTGCGACGAGATTACATTGTACATTAAAACAAAAAAAAAACTCCCAAATTTAATCTTAGTACAAACTATAGACAGTTTTTAAAAGCTTTTGTTTGGCAACCTTCAATAAGAACGCTTACTACTATCCCAAAGGCTGGCAACGCAGTGGTGTGTGCAGATGTTGCTCATGGGCGGTGGTGACTTACCTTTGTGCGATCCACTTGCTCTTTGTCTCCTTTTAAAATAAATTAAATATCTGAACGCCAGTAAACTAATCACATTCGAGCTCCAACTCCAGCCACTGGGTCGTCGCAGCCTCTCGTTCATTTAGTTAAATTAAGCGCCGCGCAACGCATTTGCATTCGATTTCCATAACGCGGCGCGGGCGTATCAGTTGGCCATACGTCACTGTACCGGAGAGATACGCACGCGGAATGGATCGGTCGCTACTTACGAACGGCTATCGAGAGCGAAAAGATATTTTTAAGACTCACCTTTTCCCGCGACATCGCCCGTATTCATCTATAGAGTCCCTCTCCTTTGAACTTTTCAAAAGTTCTCCTTTAGTGCATGAAGCAGACACACGATATGAGAGGTATGTATGTACTGTACAAATTTTATATTCCCAAAGCAGATTCTATTTGTGCGTTGATACATCAGTGAGGCAATTCTATTTTTGTGTTTTATAGATTTTTATCGATCACCTCGCCTGATATACCATGGATGGTCGTTGATATATGCCACAAGTGGTTTATCTTCAGTAATATGTTTCGAACGCAGTGCAAAGACAACAAATTAACGCGTCGAAAAAAAAAAACGACGTAGATTAAACACGGCCATGAATTCATAAACGCATAGAATACGAATAAGACTCCGTTTAAGACACAATGGTTTTTGGAAGTCGCTGCAATATCAGTATAGTGCGAATGCGCAGTGTATATAAAGCATGGACGCTTCATTATCCGAGCTGCAGTTTTTTGCTCGTAGCGTGATTTATCCAACGGAAATTGTCAGACATTCTTTGTTTATTGATTTATGCTTCGCAATATTCGGTAGCGGGTAACGTCGGAATAACGTCGGATGCTTTTTTCGGTGCAATTTGATTAAGCCACTGGGGTTTCGCCAACCCGTCTGTTTAAAATATTGCCGATCCTCAAGCACTCAGATACGATTCGGGGGCGCTTTTTGAATTAATCGCGCTGCGGTAATTATAGTTTTTCGATGAGTGTAGATTGTGGGCGGGCTAGCGAAAATTGAATGGGTGGTATCCTAGGCAATCAAAATCGATATAGCTTGATTAACGTTCAAGAAGTCAGGAGGAGGGAAATAGCTGTTAATACCAACACATTTGTTTCGGTACCAATGATTTATATGTAAGCTTGCACTTGATGCTTGCCACGTGAAAGCATCACGTGGCAAGCATCAAGTGCAAGCTCAAGTTGAAACATAAATAAATATGTATTTACGTAGTACACATAACTGGAGCTTGCTTTGTTGAAACATAAATAAATATATATTTACGTAGTACACATAACTGATTTACGAAAACTATCAACAATACGTTAATTTACTTAATAATTTTGGTTTCAATTCTAATAACATTTGTTCAATCACGTTCAATGAATTAACAGATATATATTCATTAAAATTACATTTCATTATTTCTCATCTTGTACATTTTAATTGTTACGGTTGATTCACTTTTATTTTATCACCTCATTTTGATAAGAGCTCTTCATGATGATTTTGGGTCAACCTGTTCTGATGAACCTGGAACAAAATTGTTGCAGAAGTTAATAATAGTCGCGGCTTTATTGTCGGTTACTTATACAAGGGACAATAACTCAGATCAAATAAAGTACTAAAAATAATGTACTAAAATAATTTAATCATTACGGTGGTAGGGCCACGCAGCAGCCTCGGCTGTTGCACGAATGGACAGGCCCGTCCGGGCAGCAGCCTCGGCTGTTGAACGAATAGGCAGGCCCGTCCGGGCAGCAGCCTTGGCTGTTGCATGAATGGGCAGGCCCGTCCGGGTAAGTACCACGACATCATAGAAGACCAGCATAAAGTGGAAGTATGACAAATAATTTCGCGTTTCGTCTGGTGAGTGAGGTAGCCGGAACCCATTTTTCAAAACGCTGTCAACGCATCTGTAATCCTCGGGTGTAGCGGATGTCCATGGGTAGCGGTATTCACTTAACATCAGGTGAACCATCTGCTCGTTTAGCAACTTTTCACATAAAATAAAAATTAAAATTAGAATGATTGTATTACTACTCATTGATCATCATCATCATCATCACCACCATGAGGCCTATAGGTGGTAGGAAAAAAATAGCCACAACATTTTCAGTGAAGTATTTATTATAACAAATTATGAATTGCCCACTCATGTATACTCTATTACATCAAGTATTATGTGATAAACATACTGGTGGTAGCTTTTGGCAGCATATGTATGTGGAAATCTGGCGAGGGATCTGGCAATGTAGCATGCCTCTGGGGACGCCTATGCTTGCTGTGAACGGATACTGATGATACTCATGATGTATGAATGAAATCATTGAACTGGAAGATAAAGTCACTTTTAAATATACTGTTGCGATATTAAAAACTCTTGTATGTCCTCAAACATTCTTGAAATGGTGCCATCAATTATACTTCGCTACCTGAAATTGTAGATTCATTCACATCAGTAAGAAATGTCCGTCATTTACCATGTTCATACTTGCGGAGGCATTCGTAATTTGTGAACGCGCCTAATGTCGCCTAATGGTCGTTAAAAGTACTACCGCAGATGCCCCCCAGTTCCACTTAAATACCGTCAAAATTGGTAGAAACATTTGCTTTTAATGCTTCAATCTAGGCCGCCATTGTCTAGCAGCATCGTTCTTGTTCTGTTCGTTTTTCATTTTCTTGCTGTCATCTTAGAGGTTTAATGACCACATTCATTGTACCTGAAAATGCAATGGTTTTAAAACGTTGTAATTGCAGTCTTTTTACGCTGGAATGTTTCGTGCTTTGTTTTAATCATTTCTCATCTTTGATTACGGTAACATGTATCGTTTCACGCAACGCGTATATGAAATTGTACACCTTCATAGGAAACTTGTAACAGCAAAAGTACAATTGAGAACAAATTTTTAACGGATTTAAGTTATGTTTCTGTCTAATTGGTTTTATGAATAAAATTACTAAAAGTTATAAAAGCATGCATATAGATAAAGTATAATATATTAAATACGTTCATCGTCATCATCATGGTTACTTCTGCCTGTTAGAGTCAACTGAGCATAATCTCCCTCCCCCACAGACTGACACGAAGCACGATCCTGAGCCACCTGCATCGATTGACTTTTCACCCATTTGCACAAGCCATCTAGTGGGGATATGATGCAGTAGTTACATACTGAATAAGTAAAAAACTGAAAAAATATTAAGACCCAATCACCCGAAAGCCTTCTGCAGGAGAGACCAAACGACGTAGGGTGTGAGTGAAATGGAGAGAAACCGGTGGATAGTTTTGAAGAGCAGGGCCTTCTGCATATCAGCTCGGAGTGGTTTGGAGTACCAGTCGATTTATATAATTCATATATTCAGAGAGGCTGATTGGGATTAATCCATTCGCAGTAACTAACGACTACCATATCATCGCAGTCCTCTGACTTTGCTGCATAAATTGTTGCGAAAACGAAGAAACCTTTATCTCGTAATTTATTCAGTTATCTAAAGTACGGTCAAAGTTAAACGTTATCCGAAAGGAATGGTTTTCATTGACCGGTCTAGAAACACTGGATCTGTGACCGCAACAGGTTCGGACGCGGCATCGCGGCCCGCGTTATAAATTCATTTGCACGCTCTACTCGTAATGTGCTACGTCATGACTTTTATATTGGACCCGATGATGATGATCATTAGCCGTTTCATTGTCTTCCAACATTGATTTTTTTTTTTTTTCATTTTGTTATCTATACATCATCTCTATGTGAATGGAATAACTGAATTTTAAAAATGCAGATTTATTTCATGAAAATGTGAAAATTATTATTCTTTTATATAATTTAGTGTTTATTTTATGATTAATTAGTAATTAAAACCGATCAAGCTATGCCCCAGAATTGGTCTCAGTCGGATATAAAATGCTAATGATATAAAATGCTAAAGTGCGTGTGAACTTATTAAACTCGCACTTTAGTTGTACTTCATGGTTGCAACAAAATAATTATAACTTCAAAAATGTATTCTAATGAAAATATAATCAATAAAATAGTAACATAATTCAAATCCCTGTAATGCTGTGGCTATATTGTTGAACAAAAAAAATGAAATAAAACGCATACTCTGGCTGGCAAACACACAGACCACAACAAATTGAAAATTGTTTCACAATTACTATACGAATACGGTATTGTGTAATATTTCCTCGTATTTAAATATTTAATCCAAGTACTTTTCGAGCTTTGCAAGCACAAACATATGCAATTTGAATTTTTAGATACAAAGATTACTAATACTGAACTAAAATGCTTTACTGTTGATTTTCAGCAAAAAATTGCCGAGAAATATGGATGCGCAATGCAGTTGTTTTTTTCTTATTCTGAGATACTTTCTTTATATTAGTTTACATTACACATTCAGGTATCAGATAAACTCGGAGAAATATACTTGGAATCATCGTCTTCTCATGCTTAAATTATAAAAGATCAGACCTCGTTCCAATAGTATAAGTACATATCTGATAGTTAAATCTAATATAAGATTTCTTCTACAGGAAAAGCCGCATAAATGCAGCCTTTGCTCGAAGTCTTTTCCCACGCCAGGGGATTTGAAGTCCCATATGTACGTCCACAGCGGCTCTTGGCCCTACAAATGCCACATTTGCTCCAGAGGATTTTCGAAACACACAAATCTCAAGAACCATCTGTTTCTGCATACCGGTTAGTATTAATATTACTGTATAATATTGTAATAGATAAAACTTATTCTGTACATTTATTTTTACCGTTGGGGAAGAAAGGATCTCGAGTGGCAGCCTCGTACTGCCATCGCCATTATCGCCATCGAATTAATGACGTATGTAATTATTAACTATAAGCTCATAAGTGTGTACAGCGTGTCGTCACAACCGCGACAATAAATGAATACACATCTAAAGCTACTTGCCAAAAAAAATCATAATAAAAAAAATTCAATCAAATTAATTAAATAAAAATGAAACAAAATTTGTAACATCCTATACAGCTACAACTGATTGATTCATACACTCAGAGACTTTTTCATTCGTTATCACAGGGTCGCGTTACAAGTCTCTCCTTCTAACAGTATGTCTTCTAAATCTCTTTTATATTATTATCTCTTTTAAATTTATTCAACCCATTCATATGCTTTGTGACCTTTAGAAATGAACTTTACGTTACAGTTTTATACGTAAGGGTGTTCTAAAATTATTTGTTTTGGAAAATTTAATAACTCGGTGAATATTGATATATAAGAATGTAAATGTTTAATACAATTTTAAAAAGTTATCCTCTATATGTGTTCATTTATTGTCGGGGTTGTAACGACACGCTGTATAATCGACTCAGTCGTTGAAGATAGTATATAAACATTTTGCAGGATTACAATTAATTTTTGCCTTCTCTTTCATAAATAAAGGATATTCGATCTTCGATCCGTCTACAATCATGCCCCAGTTGTTGGGCTATACATTATATTAGTGTAATGTATAGCCCAACAACTGGGGCATACAATACAATACATATATACAAATATAACTATGAACGTTCGTGAAGTTAATGAGAATCGTGGCACTTAACTATAAGGACCATATCTAGCAATCAAAAGTTAGCTAAATTCGTGTTTGAAAATTGTTGACTGGAATATATTTTCAGTAAAAAGTTAAACAAAGTATGTCCCACTGCTGGGCAAAGGCTCCTCTGTACAGAGAGTATCAGAGCATAGTCCACAATTGACTTCATTCAGATATTATTTTGAAATTATGCAAGCTTCATGATGTTTAACTCTACCGCTAAACATTTAAGAACTTAAAATTGCAATAAACAATGGCATTGATGCCGGCACCGGGATATGAAATATTTTTAGTAGAATTAAATTTTTGAAGAAGTTATTCTTCGTTAATTCAAGTGTGTTTTTGTCAAGCAATTATGTAATATTTACAGTGTATTTTGTTACAGCAAAACATCAAAGGAACGGCGCAAGGGAAGCGACCTGAAAAAATCTTTAGACACGTCGCGTTTATGTAAATATTTAACAACGATTCTAAAGAAGAGAAGCAACAGTATTTAACCAGCAGAATTACGCAAGCATGTTATAGATGTGTGAATTTTAAATGATATTTACAACGTACCAACGGTACAAAAGTTTTTATATGTTAATAATTGATAATTAAAAGTAACATACAGATGTTGCGATAAATTTAAAGTGTGATATTAGAATTTAATTAGACGTAAGTGTTAAATTATTTTATAGATATATAGATGTACAGTGTTTTGTTTAAGACTTTATTATCCATACATTTTAATAAACAAAGCTTATAGTTGAGCGGGTACTTAATATGTAATTTATGAATGGTTCAATTTAAATTAACAATAGAACATAAGGTTTGCGGGGAGGGCGTTGCACACGTTGAAGCCAAAATAAAAAAGTTATCTAGCTCAAATTTTGGAGTCAAGTAAATCTCCTATGGTATTAAACTCCGATAAAATTTGCTCGAGGGTATTGATTAAGTACGGGGAAAAATGCGTTCTTCGTTTTAAGTATTTATTACATGTCAGGTGTAGGACTTTAATTTAGAAAGTTATATGTATTATAGTATTATAACAGAAGCTATACCATGCTTCGTTGCTTAATTTACCTCCGGTAATGAACGGAATGTAAGCTCTTGATATATTTTTTTAAGCTTTTTTTAAAGTTGTGCATGGGATTTCTGTAGGATTAATATTAGATAGATTATTTATCACCCGCCTTAACGTAATTTTGTACATATCCTTAGATGCTAAATCACATAGATGTTATGTGAAAATAAACAATGACATACAATGCTGTTATACTTACACGTGTACGTATATTGTGATGCACAAATCCGTCCAAATTATTATCTCAATACGAATTATTAACTTATGAAAAGTATTTATGTTTTCATAAATGTAAGCTGCTATTTAAATACATCATTAACTATCTTTTACAACGGTTGTTTGATTTATCTCTATCGTCCATCTGATTCGTGCGCTATTAAAAATGTAATGAGCTATCTACATTGTACATATCTATGATGCAGACCACCAAGACGAGTGCATTGCATCGATTCTGAGGAATCAGGTTCGATCCAATGGAAATAAATAGCTCTATAAAATAAGATTTCATTTTAAACGTAGAAAGCGTCGAACCTCAATAATAGAGTAGTCGAGCTTCTGTAATCATAGTTATTCAGAAACTATAATTGTTATTCAGAAACTGATAAGTGAAACAATATTATGTGAATTAACGAAGTAAGTAAGCAGCAAAAGAATGGTGGCCAAGGCATGGTCAACGGAGTGTTTGTTGTTTAGTAGTATTACATTGCCGAGGCACTTTCTGCCGCGGCTTTATACTGAGCGGAGACTTTTTTGGTGCCTACATTTTATAATTATGTTAAAACATTACGGGACATATTTTTAGACTACGCTATCTAGTCTGAAACTAAGCAAAGCTTGTACTATGGGTACTAGGTAACTGATACTTAAGCGTACTTTTCTTATGTAAACACATATTATACATATATAAACACCCAGGCACTAGAAAAACACAAAACATTATGTTTTTATTATGATGGAAAAATATTGTATGCTGAACACATCTAGCAATATTTTTACAGTAATGGGGATTTGAGCCCGCACCCTCTAGTGCAAGAGACAGGGCTACTATTCACTACGCCAATTTGGACGTTGTTCCAGCTATTTATTTTTATTTTCTTGTAATTTACCGCGCCAAATGAACTTATGGACTTTGATGTTGAACCTGAACACAGAGGAAAGTTGAGGGACAGAGAGCACATAGATATAGGTCTATAAGCAGAATTATAATTCAAATCAGTAATATAATATAAGACGAAAAGTCAAGGTCATCAATGAGTCTTGATGATCCTGACCTAGTAAGATGGAATCTCCTCAGTGTCTTACTCAAGTGCTGAGTAGCGAACAACGAGACACTCGACATTTTGTTTCGACATTCCCTGGGTAATTTATCACATGTTATAATGCATAACTACAGCGAAACAAACGAACAATAGTTACCGCCATCATTTCCAGAGCATCACTAAAAATTTCAGCTTGAAGCTTTTAACAAAATATTTTTATTATAATGTACTGATGCTTGATAGGTAATGATAACAATGTAGCTGTAGACGGTAAACGCACTGGCTCAGTAAAAGCCAGTTCACTCTTGCTTGAAGACACCCACGTTATATTCGGACGGAAAGACAGATACTGGCAAATTGTTCCATTCCTTTTCTGTACACATAATGAATGACACAGCAAAACGCTTAGTTTGAATGTGTGAATGCGACAAAAAATAAAATAGGATCAAATCACGCATCATTTTGATTGAGCCGTGATAGCTCAGTGTCCGGGCGCTCGCCTTTAATTCAATATACTCGAGCAACCTGAGTTGGATCCCCGGTGCCAGCACCAATGAAGTTTTTAACTTTAAGTGCTGACTTATCACGTTCTCGGCGGTGAAGGAAAACATCGTGAGGAAACCTGCATATTTTCGAAATAATAACAAAAAAAATTCGAAGTCCGCCAATCCGCAGTGGGGCCGCGTGGTGGACTATGTCCTGATACCCTCTGTACACAGGAGGAGGCCTTTGCCCAGCAGTGGGACATGTATAGGCTGTTGCTTTTTTTTTTACAATTTTCCTGTTAAAAAACAACTAGTATTAAAGATATGCATAAAGTGCGAGTACTTTAGATCTAACAAAATGCGAAAATTTCCTGTATTCATACCCCTCTAATCTACTCATATAATACATTATTAAGTCCAATTTCAAATAAGACAAATTTTTATAACATTGCAGTGAAAGAAAAATTCTCAACTATATACAAGCAAAACTAATTTATATTCAGCACGGTATAAATCCGACGTCACTGACAACCCAATCACAATTTACCACACGGAATATTTATAGCGGGCATTTTAAATATAGAAGCTGCGTTCAAATACCGAGTAGGCGTCCGAACACGCGAGGCTCGTACTGATTTGCATAAAACAACTTCAGTTGGCGGTATTAAGTCTTAATTGTCGCTGCCGTGGAACACGCCGGGTCCTGTGGGACGGGACACGCTGCCACGGGACCGATAAATGCGGCAGTAACGTTTTATTTGCGCAGGAAGCAAAGGAAGGGCACCGGAGGGTTATTGATGCGTTTGCGCGGCTGAGTTTCTAGTTTGCGGTTGCATTACGCCGTGTCCTTGATATGGATGATAGGTCTCGTGACTTACAAGGCTCTTGAGCTGGTTTCATAACTGCAGAAAAGGTAGCTTTAGTAACCTTTTTTTAGTAATCAACCAAGAAGACTCTTCTATATTTGTTTTAGAATGTCTCAGAAAGACTCGACTCAGAAAGTCTTTCGAATTAGGTGTTGTTTCTATTGATATGAAATCTTATTTATGTCTGATTGAGAGAAAACCAGATAGATCGATCAGTAAGAGCTGGGTACTGTTTAATGACAATATACATAATTCTAAGTTCTACAGTGCACAGCCCTTAAGTACACAGCTGAGAAAAATGGCTAAAATAGAAATTATCTTGCTACAACGTTCATTCTGCCATTTGCTAGAGCTATCATAAAATATAGGATGGTAAGGCTTCTTGCATGTAAAGGTGGCGCCTTCTTTAATTGTCTTGCTCCGTAATGCTCACGCTGCTTACTCTTGCTCCGTTTTTGCCTATTATATATAAACTTACACAATTACATAGTTATGTCAATAAATTTAACTCAAGACCGACGTGAAGTTGAAGTGTACACATCTGCGTTTTGTCTGGTGAGTGAGGTAGCCGGGGCCCACTTTATTAAAAGATGGCAACGCATCTACAACCCTACGGGTGTTTCAAACGCCCATAAGTGGACACGCAAGCCGTTATACTTTAACAGGTATTTGTAATCAAGTTTTTTTCCTTACTGATTCACTGATTCTTTTAAGTTTCAGTTAAAATAAAACAATAAGGGAGGGCATGGTGACCATGCTACTACTTCTAAGTTTATTTGATGCACCAGTCCATTATGACTTGCCGATGCGGCATTATAATTATACTTTTTGTTACGTATGATTGGATGAATCAATCAAAAATTATGTATCTTAGATTAGATCTTTTGAGCATTTGAGGAGTGCGTAATTGCTTGTTTCGTAGCATCGTAAGTGAAAGATGAATCGAACGCAACCTTTTTATCGATTTGATAGAAGAATGTGTGGTGGAGGTTCACGTTATGTGTAACCGATACTTTCACTTGCGTCCGTGCGTCGATAGAGCGGACGTTAAAATATAATTATCGATAATTTAACGATGATTAATGTGTATCAGTTGGTTGTTAACATTGTTTCACGCTTGGATACAGGATGTTCAGTCTCGTGAATAGATAATGTTTTGAGCATAGCTGTATCTACCTAATGTGATAATTCAAATATGATATATTTGAATTATCACATTAGGTAGATACATAATATATTTAATTACATTGATACATTACATAATATATTTAATTACATTGATAATTCAAATATGATATATTTTAATTATCAATGTAATTAAGATATGCTAATAATATAAAAACGTGCTTTTATTGTTATATTCCCTGTTCTGTATTTACGTTATAAGCAACTGTTTGTAAGAGCTTATTAACATTTTATTAAATCAATGATCTATCTACTAATTGAAATCTTAGTGTGAATCATATATGTTTTGTGACCGAAATGTATGTTCAGTTTGTCGGATTACGATGAATGGTTAAAGGTTGATTAATTGTCACTAAGATGATACTCTTTATCTCTGTCCACTGCGTGAATATTTAATATAAGAAAACAGTTAAAACAAAACGCAAACACATTTTTACACATAAGAATGAATAAGACAATTCAAACAATCAATTATTACATTTATCCTCGAACTCATCACTGAGGTCTTAAATAATTTTTGATTAAGTAAAATGTCTAAAACAGTACATAATCTTAAATA